GCGAGACAATCACCAGACGGTCGGCTAAATTAAAGGCTGAATAACCGGCTTCTGGTGTCGGATCCGCACAGAAGTCGTCGCCAATTACTGAACCCATCATTACTGACACCAATGCTATGCTTTGAATCAACATTGAGATCATTTTAGGCCAGCATTTAATGGTTTGATCCAAAGAAATGAACACAAAATGATAATTATTTTCAATCAAAACCGCTTTTTTGTAAACAAATTTCTAATTAATATCGGTTTAAATATTCTGTGTTTGGAAACAAACAATTAATAAATTATTGTTATAACGCGTGCCGTATATTACAGTCTGTTGTATAGTATTTATAACTAAAACTTTATATAAATCATTTCAAACACATATGAAATGATAATTCAAACAATTTTGGATTACATGACAAAAAAGTATTAAAAATTTTGTAAAAAAATTAACTTTTCATACCAAGCTCAAAAACCGATTAAAAAACTATTTAAACACACATTTAAACTATAAGATACACTCATTTACACTACCAGTGCAGCCATATTAAGACACCAATGATAAGGATCTATGATTATCACGTAAAAGGCAACGGATGTGTAATTCATTGTTTTATTTTACTAATAAAATTTAATATTTCATCTAAAATATAAGCAAATAATGAAATTATTGAATAAACATTTAATTGAATGACTAAACGGTCGGCCCGTCGGCCGTATTAAATGACCGCACAGTCGGACCGGTCTTTTGTTCACCGGTCGGCGACACAGACTTCTTCGGTGACAACGTCTTTGACTTCTTTGGTGACAACGTCTTAGACTTCTTTGATTGACTGCTTTGATCCCTCTCTGGATGTCGTGTCGACACAAAGGCTATCAGTGCTGCCACAGAGACACCAATGATCACTAGTATTACCACAAGTATAATCACGTAAAACCAAACGGAACCGATAAATGTGTCCGACTTTTTGGTGGTCACCGGATGTGCTGTCGATGTGGTAGTAGTGCTCTGTTGGTCGACAATAGTTTCGCTAACACTCGTA